GTACAGAATTCATTATGTTATACATCTAAGACTTATTATATTGTATAAATATCTGGGGTGTGATGTATATACATATCCAGTGTTATAATTCAGCAATTAATGTATGCATTTCACAATACACTCTCGTGTATTTCAATGTAGTGCACATGATTTCGATTCCATAGAAGAGCACATCTGCCAGAAAAATCTGCATTTCCTTCCTGGGGGTTGAATCCCACCTTGCAAGACAAGGGTTTTCTCCCTTCTCTGATGGACTCTTTGCACTGCCTATGGCTGTAAGGTCTCCTTGTACATTCCCCAAGATGAGTGAAGGGCCAGCAGCTCCAAACATGAACGTGGGGGTGCTGAACAGTGGGGGGAGAGGAGTGGGGCAGGGTCCCTAGGGGTGGGGAAGGGGCACAGGGGGCCCCAAGAGCTGACAGGGTCCCTAAGGGGTCCCTAAGGGTGGGGAAGGGGCACAGGGGGCCCCAAGAGCTGACAGGGTCCCTAAGGGGTCCCTAAGGGTGGGGAAGGGGCACAGGGGGCCCCAAGAGCTGACAGGGTCCCTAAGGGGTCCCTAAGGGTGGGGAAGGGGCACAGGGGGCCCCAAGAGCTGACAGGGTCCCTAAGGGGTCCCTAAGGGTGGGGAAGGGGCACAGGGGACCCCAAGAGCAGGACAGGGTCCCTAAGGGGTCCCTAAAGGTGGAGAAGGGGCACAGGGAGCCCCAGCTGGGCACTGTGGGGTGAATGGAACTAAAGGTTCTGCCCATGGGAACTTGCAGCTCTCCCTTCCCTGTCCTGTGCACGCCCGGGCTCTGCTGTCCCTCCTGTCCCTGTCCCTCCTGTCCCTGTCCCTGCTGCCCCTCCTGTCCCTTCTGTCGCTGTCCCTGTCCCTGGCAGGGCTGGGGGCTGGCACCAGCTTTGTTCTGCAGTTTGCAGCTCCCCGTGTGCCACCGCTGCCCCTCTGCCCCCGGGGCTCTCCTGCGGGATGTTCTCAGCACAGCCTGAGAGCAGCAGAGCTCCCAAAATCTGCACGCAGCAGAGCCAGAGATGTTTGTTTGGTATTGAATTACAGCTATTGCTTCCCTAGGCACCTACTGAAGCATAATTCTAATTAATCTGACGGTACAGCTCCTATTTTCAGACAATTCTACTTTCCTACATACATACATTTTGTGCCTTTTGATCACTTGGCCACCATTGCTTTGTTCTCTCAAAAGCAGAGACTCTTTCATCAGTGTGTAAATGCTGTTCAGTTAACAGCAAAGTGGAAAATTATCTAGTCCATGAATAAAATATTGTATTTAACAGCATCACTGAAAAATATTTAGGTGAATGGGAAAATTGGGGGGGGGGGGGGTTTAAAATAATTTAAAATTGAATTTGCTTAAATTTATAGAGTATGCCATAATTTTGAAATTAAAATTTGAGATACTAAATTTAAAAGGAACTAAACAACTCAGAACTATTTTGCATCAGATATATTCATGTTGAATATATTTTCCTTTCATCTTACAAGAAGTAGCATAAATGGTCAAACCAGGATAAATCCAGAATAACTCCGCTGCATTGGTGTTATCCCAGTTTCACTGAAAATAGAGAGTTCTCTCTTCCCACTTCTTTTCTATTTTTTTGTATTGCTTATTTTCCATGGTTGTATTGCCATTTTCCATGTAAGAGCTTTCATGTGATGACATGTGATGGAAAAGAAAAAGAAAATTTATGAACCTGCAGATCTTTCTTTTTCCCCCCCATTGCCTGATTTGGGGATTGGGGTTTTTTGTGGACAGCTGTCCCCAGTTCCACTGTTTAACTGGTTCCCAGTAACAGCTGTGCTCCTTCCTGATGGGCAGGAATTGTCATTTAGTCACCTCTGTGGCTCTAAAACCGCCCCAAATTCAGCCACTGAGCCACCCCAAACCTGCCTGAGGACCCTCACAGCCACGCTGGGACCTCACCCTGAGTGGCACACGGAACAGAGCCCAGGCACTGTGACCTCCTCCCCACTGTGGGTTTGGGCTCAGCCAGACCCCAGGAGCACCAAAAAGTGCTGGAAAGGCCAGAGGGGTCCCCTGGGGGCTCTGGCCCCTCCCTGAGTGCCCAGGCACGATGGACAGCCAGGGGCTGGGCACCAGGGACAAGGATGGGGACAAGGGACAGCCCAGTGTGCCAGCAGGGAGCCCCTGAGCTCTGGGATCCTCCAAGGGACATCTCCAAGGGACATCTCCAAGGTACAGGTGTGACCTCTGCTCCTGTGGGTGAGGCAGGGGAGCAGCCCAGGACACCTGCACATCCCTGGGGACACGGGCAGGGACACGGGCAGGGAGCCTGCAGCACTGCTGCAGCCTCAGCAGGAGTGGAAGGAAAGGTTTCCATGGGGAAATGGAGCCCAAAGCAGGAATGGAAGGAAAGGTTTCCATGAGAAGATGGAACCCAAAGCAGGGCTGCAAGGAAAGGTTCTCATGAGAAGCCTCACAGAAGTGGAAGGAAAGGCTCCCATGAGGAAATGGGACCTCAAGGGGAGTGGAAGGAAAGGTTTCCATGAGAAGATGGAACCCAAAGCAGGGCTGCAAGGAAAGGTTCTCATGAGAAGCCTCACAGAAGTGGAAGGAAAGGCTCCCATGAGGAAATGGGACCTCAAGGGGAGTGGAAGGAAAGGTTTCCATGAAGAAATGGAACCTCAGCAGGGCTGGAAGGAAAGGTTTCCATGAGGAAAGGGAACCTCAGTGGGAGTGGAAGGAAAGGTTTGTTTAAGAAATGCAATCGCAGCAGGGCTGGAAGGAAAGGTTTCCATGAGGAAAGGGAACCTCAGTGGGAGTGGAAGGAAAGGTTTCCATAAGAAATGCAATCGCAGCAGGGCTGGAAGGAAAGGTTTCCATGAGGAATCTCACAGAAGTGAAAGGAAAGGCTCCCATGAGGAAATGGGACCTCAAGGGGAGTGGAAGGAAAGGTTTCCATGAGGAACCTCACAGAAGTGAAAGGAAAGGTTTCCATGGGGAAATGGAGCCCAAAGCAGGGCTGGAAGGAATTATTTCCATCAGGAAACAGCTCGGTGCTCTCTCTGAGGCCACGGCCTCGCTGGCTCACGGAGGGTTTGCTCTTTGGGCTCTCTGCCCTCTGCACCTGCCAGCAGAGCCTGGTTCTTCTAATTTCAAGACTCAATCAATTTGTGGTCAGTTTGGGTCAGTATATTGTACAAACAACAGTAAATAGGGGTGGTTTTTTATTTGTTCTGTTCTTCGTTTAGGCCAAATACAAAATAATGCATTGGAAAGAGAAGTTAAATTCTAAAAAGGGGTTTTTATGTTGTTAGTGATAAGGATCATTGTAGGAATTCATCTTTCCTTATTTCCTGGATCATTGAAAGGGGAGAGAACATTTGTTAAACAACCCAAGACTTCATCTGACGCACAAGTGCTGCATCCCTTATGAAACAGAAGCATATCTGTGCTCTATTATTTTCTCTCCTCAAAATTAGATTTTAACAGATGTCATCTCCTCCCTGTGCAGTTCAGTGCCAGCAAAAGCAAGTCTCTAATCACTTATATAAGCCTGGTGTCCTCACTTCTAGGCTCAATGTTAAAATTCCTGTATTTTGCAGCAGTTACATTAAATATGTTCCCAGTTGTGAATTAGGACCCAAATGCAGAATTTCCCACAATTTTCTGGTTTATATATAAATTCAAATCTTGCTTTGATCTACTTAAAGGATGGGAACTCCAGCATGTAAGGCAGTTGTAGTTTGGCTCTTGTGGTTATTGCACAGGATCCATCACAAGAATATGTGCTTTATTGGGGGTTTTAAGTATTCTGTAGATTCAGGTTTTTCCTAACTGTAATTTTCAACTTATCTCAGTCACCCTTCAGTAAAAAAATAGATGTGATGCATATGAAATGGCAGCTTTGAACTTCCAGCATGTTTTCCTTGATAAAATGGGACAGTCCCTTGTGTGGCTGCAGTCCCAATGTGTCTTTTCTTCCCTTTTTAATGAAACATGGTGTAAAGTTTTTCTCCCTAATGGCTTCATGGCCAGGGATGTTTTAGACAAGCTCTGGGGCTGTTGAGCATGAACTTCTCTGGCCTGCTGAACTCCACCACCAATGGATTCATGAGCACAGAAACAGAGAAACAGTGACTCCAAGCTTTGCCTATTTCCTAGGAAATTTTCCTTCCTACTTCATGCATTCCAATACCACGTTTGACTTTCCCACTCAGATAATAACATGTGTTGTCAGCCAAGCTATTGTTTCAGCAAAGCATTTCCCTCTGAAGTATGTGCTGGGTTTTTTTTTTTTTTTTTACAGGTTATTTTTTCATATTAGCAATGACAAAAGTGAACCCAGGGCTACTCCTTGATTTTTATTTTCCAGGGTTTATTATTATATTTACAGTTCCCTGTAAGAAGACACAACCCTTTCTCAGTAAGAGTTCTAATTCCTTTCTATGTTTCAAATACTAAAGACCCATATGGAAAGGAGGAAGATAATCAGTGATGAAGGAGGTATCTCTGGGGGCTGAAGCAGATGAATAAAAAACTCAAATTATTATAAATATTACTGTACTACACTTTGGTACCAACCCAAAAAAAAACCCCAAACCCCTTCAAAGAAAATATTTAATGTTCCCTAAGTCAAATAAAATTCACAAACAATATAAGAAGAAATTAACCACATGGGGTTTTTTTATATCTGTAAAAAATAATAAGACTACTTGGCTGCATTGCACATAGGCAATAAAATGAGATTCATTCCAATCCCTTTTTCCATGAGCCTCCTCTCAGGCTGTGAGCAAGAAATGTCCACTGTGCTTTACAAAGGACGACGACTAGAAAAAAATCAATGCAAACAAACATCCCTTTCTTTTCTGATTGACCATTTCTCGTGAGAGATGACAAACAAATGAAGTCTCCTCTGAGTCTGAGCGCAGGTGGATTAGCATTTTGCTAGTACCAGGCAGTACACAGAAACAGCCATCGTGTGTGACACCTCCAGCACCTACAGGGAGCTGTTTTAGGGGCACATCCTGGTTTGTGGTGAAACAGGATTAACTCAGCCAGCCTCCTGTACCTGCTCTCTGCCATCACGTTATCATCTCAGTACCTCCAGGGTTGGGCTGTCTTGTTCCTATTGCTGACTGGACTGACTGCTCCACCATCCATAAACAGAAGGCATAAAGGTGATTACAAACATAAGAAAGTAGTTTTACATATTGTCTTGCAGTCTTTCCATATAGTCCCTAAGTTCCTTGGAGTCACCAAGATTCATATCTTGGCATACCCATTTAATATTATCATCACTGTCAAATAGAATTGAGTTGGTGTAGGGGCCTCCATCCTCTGGCAGGATTGTTGTATATGAAGTGAACTTTACTCGCTTCTGCTTTGGCCCAGAAGGATTTATAGGTTCACTTTTAACTTCTTTTTCACAAAGGTACTCAGAAGATCTGAGGATATGATTATGAAGAGTCTTCTGAGAACTCCCATTAAGGAGAAAGTTGCTTTCTTCAAACTGCATCCCTCTGTCAATCATGGTAGTGCACTCCTCTGATGGGAGCGAAATGTCCACTGGGTTTTCCAGGAGCTCCACCTCATTTCCAAGCCAGACCCAGTCATGGGAATGGGGGATGTTGCCTTGCTCACTCACAGCAAACCTTTTGTGCCTGTACTTCCAAGCAAATGCCACGCAGTTAATCAGAAACACCAGGATTGCCAAGCAGAAAACACAGAGCAGCGCGTACATGCCAATCTCCAGGTCTGTCAATCCTCTGGAAGTCAATGAGAGATCACTGGGATTGTTTTCTCCTGGTATTTCTACTTGGGCAGGGAAACCTGTGAAGGCAGTTGGGCTGTTTTGAAGCTGGCCATCCTCCAGGGACTCCTGATCAATGGGAGAGATGAAAGTTGTGCTTTTGTTTGCGTTGTCCTCAGGACCGGACACGTCCTCGTGGTTTTTGGACCAGTCTTGTGCTGTCCTGTCTTGTTCTGCAGCTTTCTCTATAGCATTGCTTGCATGGCTTTTAAAATCTTTCTCCAGGTCATCGATGTCGTTGGTGCTCCCTTTTGGGTCCGAATCCTTCTGGCCAAACTTCACTTTGACGTTTCCTTTCCCCACGGCCAGCACGCTCTTGCGCTTGGTCTTCTGGCAGGGCTCGCTGATCACCATCTCAATTTTAATCAGGGGCCCCTGCCCGTCCCCTTCTGCCACCACCACAGGCCAGAGGGACTGAAGGCTCTGGTGTGAGGACACCACCATCTCATCCAGGGAGCTGATGGACACGGAGAAGTCCTTGGAGTCGTAGATGTCCAAGGGCGTCACGGCCCCGTCGCTGAACAAAACCCAAGCACTCACCACAGCCTCCTGGTGGGGAGAGGATGGGGGAAAACAGTGTGAGAGAGAGCACAAATCAGACAGTCTGTTGTTAAAGTCTGAAAAAGAATACAGAGTTTAACTTTGGGGATTCTTTTTGCTTTGTTTTTTTAAAGAAAATGGAAATGTCTACTCTGCTTCTCATTTTCTTGCAGGCTTGTGTTCTCTAGACCACTGAGGCATTTACCTCACCTTCAGGAACTATCAAAGAAACACTCATGTAAATTTAATAAAAGCGCTGGAAAAAAACAATTGACTTTTTTCTCAGTCTGAAGTGAGAAGCCTCTTTTGAATGCTAGAGCCTTATGATAAAAATAATAATATTTCCAACGTCACAGTCAATTAGGTTTGTAAAGGACCCATAATGGGGAGTTTCTGTAATGCTGCAGTTCCAGGGCCTCATGTAATGCAATGAGCAGGGCTGGAATGTGTCAGGCCAGTGAGCCCATCCAGCCCATGGAACAGACTGGGAGGAGAACACGTCTCAGGGCAGCACTTTATATTTTCTGTCATGCTTTCAAATATGCAGGACTTGCAATATGCAAAAGGGATTGTGGTCTTTCCTGGGAACTATAGAAGCACTCATAAAAAACACCATTTTTATGTTTTGACCAAACCAATTTGTCTTCTTACTGCAAATTGCTAGTGCAAAAGATATAGTTACACTTTCTGCACTGATGTAGATCCTCAGCTCTAGGAAATCTATTAAAAAACCACATACAGAATTTGTTCTGTGGTCTCATTAAAAGCTGTTTAATTCCTCGGATTATATGGTTCAAAGTAAGCACAAACTCATCAGTTTTCAGCAATGCAGGTCATGGAAACTTCTGCACCTGCAGCCAGAGGTCGTTTTGGCTGAGCTGACTTTGTGAGACAATTAAGGACAGGCATTCCCAGCCCTGCCAGCACAGCTAGGCTGCATTTCCCCACAGAAAAGGAGGTTTTTGTGGCACACCCACGTGTGTTTGGCACTGGGCACTCCCAGACTCGTCTGTGAGCTCCCCAGAGCAGCTCTGGAGAGTGCAGTGGTCACTGTGCAGGGGTCAGGAAGATGAACAGCCTTTACTATGAGAAGTGACTGCTTTTCACTGCCATAAATTCATTGTATCTGCTGCCTAAAATTTACAGCAAATTCCTCTGCCAAAGCAGAGGGAACATTAAATTAATGTGATGCACTCTTTGGAGCATACCTGCTTGGGCGTGCGCAGGATGTCGTGGGCAGAGGTGGTGGCAAGGATGGCTCTCTTGTTTCCTTTGCTGCTCTGGAAGGACACGGACAGGCCTGACACCAGCTGCACCCCCAGGTCAGAAATGGTCACCCTGTCATCCAGGACTATCACTGTCTTCTCTGCCAGGATGGAATCCGAGAGAGGGGACAGAACCTGGGAGGAGAGAGGAAACACCCTGCATGAAACAGCAATGAAGAATTTCAAAGCAAGGCTGGCCTCTAACCAGCACACCAGATCAATCCTGGGTTTGTCACCTCCATGTCTAAGTCAGAGCTGATGTTTCCTCCAAGACATTACACTCATTTGCTGCTAAATTACTTTATCGGAAAAAAAAAATTTAATAAAACAACAAATCACTTCAAAATTGCAGCTTCATCTCGACAAAATATATATATAATATAGAATAAATTAAATGGATATGTTGGGTTTTTTTAAAGTCATTTTCTGGGGTCTATAAAACTCTCTGTTAATGCAGTGCAGCACAGGACAGAGTGTAAGACCCTGATTAACACAGAAACTCAGTGAGGGGATAAATAAGTGCTCAAAGCCTGGCTGATGGGAACTTGGCCTGTTGCCTTTCTAGGGACAGGGGACCTGACTGAAATGAAAGTGAGACTTGCAAAAGAACTTTAGAAATCCCACTGGGTGCCTGCCTGCATTTTTCAATGCCAAAACACTCCTGCCAGTTGCTCTAAGACCTTGTTTCCAGCATGCTCAGAAGGAGACTCATCCTTATCCTGGTGACAGAAACAGCTGCTTTGAGCCCAAAATAGTTGAGGTGTGATTTGTCTAATCCAACATGAGAAACCTGCAGCACAGCTCCCTGCACTGGAGCTTCCTGCTCTTTTAGAGTCACTGGAGAGAAGGAGACATTTTTAGGGCAGAAATCCCTTGACCTCTCCATCCCATTTATTTCAGGTTGAGGGAGCTGAGCCCTAAAATCCCTGGGTTGACTCCAGAGTGTGACCAGAACATTGCAGGTGTTTGCAGCCCCTGAGAAGAGCCCCAGTGCTTCCACTCCTTTATTCTGAATTTGGACAGAGGTTAGGTGGGGAACATGAACACTCCAAAAGGCACCTGAAGATTATCTTTGTGTCCATGGTTTGTGATCGGTTTTGTGAACGTAAAAGGACTGATTTTTCAAATATGTTCAAGCATATAAAGGTGCATGTAGATATTTGGTACAATTGGTTATGTTCATATGGTCCCACTGAAGCTAAAAGGAGCTGGCTGTGTGTCTCGTGTCACCTCTTTCCCCAGCCAGGGAAATCTCCCTGTGCTCCAGTCACACTAAGATGGAAAATCCCTACAAAACCTTCACCTAAGGGCATTTTATGGAAGTGACAAACAGCCACAATGAAAACCCATTCAAACTTCCTTTTCTGTTTAGCAAACCCATTTTTTCACCTTTTATTTTTTTATTTTTCCCCCGAGATCAGTGAGTTTTCCACAGCAACCCTGAGCCCTGCTAAGCCAGGGTGTGTGTGAGCCTGAGCCCGCAGCGGGGCTGCAGGGGCTGTACCTGCACCGTGGTGATGCCTTGCTCACGCCCAGCCAGCACCCGGCCCTCCTGCAGCTTGGCCACCTTGGGCTCCTCCACCTTCATGAAATCAGCCACCAGGTCTGTGATGTCGAACTGCCACTCCGAGCCCAGCAGGTAGGTCAGGTGGCCTCCAAGCTCCGAGGACTCGGCCACAAACTGGGTCAGGACCCTCACCAAGGCGTGCTGGTACTGCAGGGTGCAGCCTTTGCCTTTCTTCTCGTCGTCCTCCTCGTCCTCGCTGTCCCGGGTGGGCCTGTGAACACAGCCAGCTTGGTTAGCCTGGTCCCCCCAGCCCTGCAGAGCTCCAGCTGCACCTCCTTGGTGGGAAATGGTAAAGGTGAGGTGATTTCCACAGAGCTGGAAAAGCAGGGCTTAGAAACGGGAAGAGCAGAGAAACTCAGAACTAGCGGCAGCTGCAAAGCCTGAAGGTAGAAAAAGTTACCATGGTATTACAAGCAAGGACATAAAACAATAGCTTGGCTAAGATAGACCTTAGGACTGCAGAAAAATATGCTTAAAAGATAGTAGAAGGTTTTAAGCTTAATAATGGAATATTGTGTATTGTTAACAGAAAGCAGACAAGCCAGCATTGTGTGCAGCAGGTGTAGGTGTGCTTTTAGTGACTGGCTAGAGCAGCTGACTGGAAGCTTTGGCAATGTTCTATTGGCTGGAAAGTTTTCCAAATGCTCTGTAACAAAAAAAAAAAAAAAAAAAATCTTTAGCTGCTGTTAACAAAACGTGAGCTGCTACCACCTTCTGTTGTCTCAGCCATATAATGAGTGATACTACAGTAAAAGCTCAAAGAGCCTCTCCCAACAGTCCCATCCTGTTTGTGAAAGGAAAAAACCCACAGCAACACACTCACTGTCATCAGTGTTGATGTTACCACCCGCTGCTGGGTGAGCCAGATCAGGGTTTGGATGGGCAGGTTAGTAAATCCTGGGGGGATGTTTGTGCAGCTTTCTGGTGCTGTGCAATTTAAAAGCTACTGTCGCTTCTTCCAGTGAATCCTTTGTTTGTGTGGGCCTCCCAGTGAACTGAAAATGTGTTTGTCATTGCTGGGATCCCAGTGGAGCCACTGCCCATTCTCCAGGCAGCAGAGGGCTCAGGAAAGCAGAGGGAAACCTTGAGGAGAGGGCAGCTCTGGAGCAAAGCCCTGTAGCAGCTCATCGGGTGGGAGAAGGTGTTTCACCATCTTTTAACATTTGTATTTCTGAGCTCTGCCCTTCACACCTGTAACAGCTCTGTTACAGAGGCAGAGCACCCAGCTGAGCCCAGCTGATCCTGCTGTGCTCCATGCATCCCCGGCTGCTGGGAGAACACCTGGGCTGTACCTGCACCTCACACCTCCACATCATGCACTGACCTCAGGGGGCCTCCAAACCCCAAACCAGGGCTTTGGGCTCCCTCTCAGGGCAGAGCTACTCAGATTGCACCTGCAGCATTAGACACACTTCCTTCAACATTTTCTATCTGTCCCCCTTTCAAAACAGAAGCTGTGAAATAAAGCAGCTTTCCCCAGAGCTCAGAGAAGGAACCACAGTGATTTGTACACGATAGCACTGCTGTCACACCTCACAGAATTTTTTGTCTGCTTAAAGACCCAGTTTACCACCAATATTAATATTTTTTTTCCTCTTGTTCATTGCTGGCACAAACACATGGATCCTCTTATCTCTTCCAAGTCAGGTATTAAGCAGTAGCTGGTCACACTTTTACTCATTATGCCCCCATGCTGTGGATTCATTGCTCAGAAATAATTTCCCTCCCTCCTGTATTTATTGAGCCTGAAGCCACCTCTATATCAAGGGTGGAAAATACAGGATAAGTCTCTCATTTTTCAAAGTATTGCAGGAGGTAGTTTTGTGGTTACTGTGTCCCTTTATCTCCTCCTTTGAAATAGCAGCTATGAAAAACTATTATAAAACAGAATTGCTTCTGTTATAAATTGTTTTATGACAAAGTTGGCAGCCAGTAAGGTGAAAACATATCTAAGAAAAACCCTTGTGCTCTTCAAAATGACTGAAAGTCCCAGTGTTACAGAACCTCATCCACTGGAAATACATTTTCAATGCATCACTTGTTAGCTGAATATTTATATTCAGCCTCAGGTAAATGGTCTGTGCTGCCTTTTGGTTTTGTGTGTGTAAAACAAGTGTCCATCATTACTTGCTGAGTGAAACATCATTGAGTAACAGTGGAATTGTTAGGGGAAAGGCTACAAAAATAGGATTTATACTTCCCAAAGAAATTATTCTTACAGAGTTTGACTAGCTGGATATTTCAGGGAAACTTTCAGTTGTTCTCTCCTTCCCAGCACAGGTGTCAGTCTGAAGTCAGCTCACAGTTGGCAAAACAGCCACGAAGAAAGTTCTAGAAGGGGAATGTTCATTCTGTGGTCCACATCCATCCATGCTGTAAAGGAATTCATGAACTCCTTCATGTTCCCACTTTCAATTTATTCCTGTGCTCTGACCCTCTTCAGCCCAGCTAAGCCATAACCCAGCTCTGAACAATCAGACTTTGGCAGGACCAAGCTCAGCTCTGAGATTTTGGGATTTGACCCTCTCTTAATAATACAGACAGTAACATTAGTGCCTGTGCAGAACTGGAGAAACATGTGCAAAAGCTGTTCAGGTAAGGAGTATTTATGGGATTTGGGGCAAAAGAGCACAGAGCTGATGGGAACCAGCCTTGTTATGGGAAAAGAGAGCCAGAGCCAGTGTTGTGTGCCTGGCAGGAGATGTTCACACAGTCAACATCCACGCCAGCATCATTTACACAACTCCCTGTCTGCTCCTGTTTGTCCCTGCCCGGGGCAGGGGTTGGAACAAGATAATCTTTAATGTCTCTTTCAACCCAAACAATTCGGTGAGTCGATGTTTTATTCAGATCCAATGGGTTGCTGTTATCTTTATTTATGTCCTTGTTTATTTCTACTTTCGCTGTTTAAAACTTTGCACTGCTGGATTGTCCAAGAGGAAATCTATTCAAAACAACTGGAGGGAATTCTTTTTCAGCCCCAGCTCATAAATATGAGCTGTGGAATGAGCAGAGGGAAGGACTGCTGCTCAGGGCACAGAGGGAGCACTCCTGTCCTTATTTCCAGGACTAGCACCGTGTGGGCAGCCAGTATTTACCACAACAAAACCATGACTCAAGTCCAGCCCATTCCTTGGGGTGTCTTAAATGCAAAGGCTCCATTTCAGCACAAAAACATTTAGAGATGTTGATGTACTTCTCCTCAGAAACGTGTTTTCTGTGGCAGACAAATGTGGAGCATCAGAAAAGCCTCTCCAGAGCCCGGGATGAGCAAGGCACGTTCTTTGTCAGTGCAGAGGAGAGGGAGGTGTCTGAATTTTCAGTACAAGCTTTGCAAGAATGCTTTGCCTGGTCTCAACTCAAGTTCTTTCTGGGTTTTTTTTCTGAACAAAGGATATAATTTTTCCACTTTAAAGCCACAAAATCAATATTTAGGCAGTAAGTCTGTTTCATCTCCATGCGTGCAACAAAATGTTTGAGATCCAGTGAATTACACAGTTCCCTTTAAACTCCTCATTAAAGTGTTTTCAGTAAGCTTAAAATCCTTCATTAAGCAGGGAGCTCATTTTCTGCTCAAGACAAGTCCTGGTGAATACAAGCTATTGCTGCATATTGTGCTTTTTTCCCTTGGTCATCTCTGAAAATCTCTCTGAGTCCTCCTTACCCTATTTCTTGCTGCTTGGCAAACTTGCTTGGAAGGTTTTTTGCTTTTCTGGAGCGAGCCAAGGTTGCCAGAATTACATTTAATTTACATTTCACAGAGAGAAAGGCTCTGCCAGGGAGCTGAGTTAAAGCAGCAGGCTGTTCCAAGGGTGCCTGCGAGCACTGATCTAATCAGTGATCTGTCAACTGCACATTACAGACCTTGTCTCTGAGCAGTTGAAGTGTGTCTCTTTTAATCTGCACCCCTCTCCAACCAGGCATCACATTCTTGGGCCAGATGCTAATTTTCTGTTTAAAAAAAAAAAACAAAAACCAACCCTAAAGAAATCAGTTCTGCTGGGTTTGGATTTGAAATGCTCATTACAAAGAGTCGTATATTTAAACAACATTTGCAACACCCCTAATTGAAAAAAGAAATCTCTCTCAGATACAAATTACAAACCACTAGAAGCTGATTTAGTGGAAGCTACAGAAATAAGCTGCACATAACTCTACTCACAGTTCAAGAAGAAATGTAATTTGGTACTTTCACAGATCTTGAAAATACGGCCTACCTATTAACAAAAATCTGCAAGGCCTTATCTCCAAAGGACATTAAAATCAATTAACTAAAGGAGCAAATTTACAGCGTGTTCCAGCTTAGTGCAGATGCTGTTAGCCACCAATGGAATGGTTTGGATCCAGTGTCACTTAATTTCACTTAAAGTACAGCTTTACCTCAGAGGGGCAGCACTCACTGAGGGTTTCACTGAAGCAGTTTCTTTTGTCCTGCTTTTAACCCAGGCCAACTTTCCTGCTTTTGTCTCCAGAATTGGACAGGACCAAAGCAGAGCTCAATAAATCCTGCCTGAAGTGAAGCCTGTGCTGGTGGTGTTGGGAGACTCCTGAAAACAATGTCCTATCCCAGCTGCAAATATTTACTGAAATTAAATTTCCAGCTTGTTCTGAGAGACTTTAGCCATGCAATTCCTATTAATGCAAGCTGAAGCCACTCAAGCCATGTAAATATGTGTGCACAGAGCTGGTGCAGGAACCTCAAGAAGAAGGTAATTATTTTGCAGATGCATGAGGAATAGAAATAAATGTTCTTGTTAGACTAGCAGAGTCTGCCTGGACCTCTTCTACACTCTAATATTTGATTTTAATTTAAATATACACCTAGTGTTTGCTGAGGCTGGGGGTTTGTGCAGCCCGTGCTGGCTCAGGCACCACTTTCCCTGCACCACCCAGGAGATGATGGTGGAGCTGAATTTCACCTGCCCAGGGAGGCTCCTCCTGTCTGCAGCAGCACTCACCAGAGATCAAGTTCTCCTCCTGATAATATTAAGGATTTGCCATATATTTTCAGGCTGATCTGGTACATCGTATTGCTGCTTTTATACAGGGGAGATTAATTGGGGTTTTTTCCAGTTTCTGGCATAAAAGCAGCCTGTCTTTTCCTTTCTGTTCTCTGACAAGTTCCTGCTCCTGCAGCAGTTCACACCAGCTAAAAACCAACACAGTTCAAACTGTCCAGGGGGCGTTTGTAAAAGATTTGTAAAGACCCTGCTTCTTCATGGCTTTGTGGAAATCATTCAAGAAGTCAGAGAGGCAAACATGTCTGTAATCACATGTATTTTACAATTTCAAACATGACAGGGTTTAGAGGGAGCAGCAAGACATTTTACTGCCTCGAGAGCCATCCCTGGGAAGAACAGATGTGATCTGGGGCACATAAACTCTCTCAGGTCTGAAGGAGAGCAGCTGTATTCAGAAGAAGAACAGCAATGCTGATGCACAAACGTTTCTTTTGTTAACAGCACCAATAAACACGTTTAAGAGATTATTGTAAACCCAGTTCTATTTTGCCATCTGGCCCAGCCCCTCAGACATGAAGCAGCACAGCCACGCTCTGGGGGTGGAAATGAGGCCCTGGGGCAGCCAGAGAGATGAGAGAAAGTCTGGAGGTTGCTGAAGTGTCTCTGCACAATCCCTATAAAATTTCCATCATTTTAGCTGCTGTGTGTTGATGAATAACTTTATAGCAATGTTCAGTTCCTGCTAAGAACACAAGCAGTGGTGTGAGGACACCAAACCTGCAGCAGCAAAGTGGAAAATTGCTTTGTTTGTGGGGAGATGCAATGCTGCCATGACCAGAACAGTGACACAGTTTCTGTTGATTTTTGGGTTAAGTTTAAGGCTGCCTAAGCCTGTTCTCAGGGACTTTGGAAAGAATCCTTGAGTTTCCTTCAAGGACAGATATCAAAAACCTCGTGCAACTTGCCAATATTGGCTCTCACATGAAGGTGAAATTGAAACAACACAATGCTATGGCTTCACCTGCTGAGAAATGCTTGGATTTGGGGTTTTTGCAAAGATAAAAGCACTCTGCTCACTCTCAAACCTACAGCTCCTGACTGCAGTCCAAATGTCTGGAGTGCTTCAGCTTATCACTTAAAAACTCATAAAAACTCCCCCAGGTTTAGGATTTTGGGAAACACATAGGAGGTGGAGGTATAAGCAGATTAAAAAGTAAAGAGAAAAGTCATAATAATAAAAAAGAGCCAAAATGAAAAGCCACTAAATCTCAGGTAAAAACCATCCAAATCTAAAAATAAAGGAAATGTAAAAACCTTATGTGCAAAGTAAATGTCAGCGTGAGCACAACTAATGCTGGCTCTGAACTATTGATTCAGAATAGCCCAGCAAAGTTAAAAAATCCACATGAATGGTCAATAAAAGGAGAGATCATTTGTTTCCTCTTGAAACCTCTGCTGTTCACATGGGCATGGCCCTTCCAGGGGGATGGCACAGTGTCCCCACTTTGGAAAATGCCTGCAGGACGTGGGCCAGCAGCTCCAGTGCAATCCAAGCAGCAGCAAATGCTTTGCACCCAAACTCTGCAAAGCCTGCCAGCTTGCAAGCAAAGCAGACTCTCAGAGTTCCCTTTATTTCAGCTGGCCAAATAAATCAGGAGGAGACACCAGGGAGGAAATTTCCAGCGCTCCTGTAATGGGTTTAACTTGAGAATGCCCACGACTGCTAAACACGGCTGAATGGCTGCTCCTGCAATAAACACCAGCCTAATCCTGCAGCTGTGTGCTCAGCAAAATCCCACTGCTTTCAGCAGGATCTGTGCCTCAGGGATGGGACAGCACAGGCAGGAGAGGGAAGTTCAGTGAAGATTTAAGCAGTCAGCTTAAACCCATTCATTCCTCACCCAGCACAGCTCTCCCTGTCTTTGTCACTGAAGCAAACACTGCAGCTTCTCTTGTGCCAGATTCTCATCACCTCTTCTGTCATAGCCAAAAAAATACCCACATAATCGAGAGGTCAGTCATTGCCCTTCTCTGGAGCTCATGATCTGACTCCCTGCAAACTGTGGGCTATTCCCTTAGATGAAGTGTTGGGTAGTTCTCCTCCACTGCTGTCTGGGTTCTTCAGGCTCTTCAGTAGCTGAGATGTTCTCCTGGGCACTGGAGAGCTTTAGCTGGAGCTGCCACAGTGTTTAGCACTCCCCTTGCTGCTGCCAGCAAGGCTTTTTCACTGAGTTATAAATCTGAGCTGGTGTCACGCCTTTTCCCCACTAATATTTTTCAGTTTCACCTGAAATCCACCAACACAGTAGCGTTCCTGGAAGTTCTTAATCTTGCAAATGATGGTCATTACAGGCATTTCCATAGGGAATGATGGGATCAGAGCTCAAAACCCCCCCCTGTCTCTGCCCTCCTTTTTTCCCTGTCCACTTTTTCCTGGTGGAACACGGTCTTCGGTAGGAATTGTTTCTTACTGAATTCAGAGCTGCTAAGTAGTGCAGCAGCCAGGTCTGCACAGACTGAACAACCACCCAAAGTCATGGAATCACAGAGGGTTTGGGTAGGAAGAGACCTGGGTCACCTGCTCCAAGGCAGTGACAGCTGAACCCTTCCTTGGCCCTGTTATTTGTCCCAGCAGAAGGAACTGAGGTCTGGCAGTGCTGAATTTTGTTGTGTTACAGGGTTGTGTTACACCCACAGGAGAGGTCCAGGTCCTTTTCCTCAGGAATGTGTGATCCACTGTCCTGAGATTGTGTGGGATTGATGAATGCTCCAGGCAAAGCTCTGACTTTGTGTACAGATCAGGATAAATGCAGTGATTGCTGGGTGTTTGAATGAAGGCTGAGGCAGCCTGTAACGCTGACAGCAATTTTTCAATGCTCATTTTTAAATGGCTGTGCTCTAAAAGCAGAGCCAGGCACGTGTGAGGAGAGGGGCAATGCTGAGAACATACCTTTTGTTGGAGGTGACAGGGATCCTCCAGCCCTTGATCTGGCTGAGCTCCGTGTCAGAGATCTCGATCCCCTGTCTTTGTCACTGAAGCAAACACTGCAGCTTCTCTTGTGCCAGATTCTCATCACCTCTTCTGTCATAGCCAAAAAAAATACCCACATAATCAAGAGGTCAGTCATTGCCCTTCTCTGGAGCTCATTATCTGACTCCCCTGCAAACTGTGTGCTATTCCCTTAGATGAAGTGTTGGGTAGTTCTCCTCCACTGCTGTCTGGGTTCTTCAGGCTCTTCAGTAGCTGAGATGTTCTCCTGGGCACTGGAGAGCTTTAGCTGGAGCTGCCACAGTGTTTAGCACTCCCCTTGCTGCTGCCAGCAAGGCTTTTTCACTGGCTTATAAATCTGAGCTGGTGTCACGCCTTTTCCCCACTAATATTTTTCAGTTTCACCTGAAATCCACCAACACAGTAGCGTTCCTGGAAGTTCTTAATCTTGCAAATGATGGTCATTACAGGCATTTCCATAGGGAATGATGGGATCAGAGCTCAAAATCCCCCCTGTCTACTTTTTCCTGGTGGAACACGGTCTTTGGTAGGAATTGTTTCTTACTGAATTCAGAGCTGCTAAGTAGTGCAGCAGCCAGGTCTGCACAGACTGAACAACCACCCAAAGTCATGGAATCACAGAGGGTTTGGGTAGGAAGAGACCTGGGTCACCTGCTCCAAGGCAGTGACAGCTGAACCCTTCCTTGGCCCTGTTATTTGTCCCAGCAGAAGGAACTGAGGTCTGGCAGTGCTGAATTTTGTTGTGTTACAGGGTTGTGTTACACCCACAGGAGAGGTCCAGGTCCTTTTCCTCAGGAATGTGTGATCCACTGTCCTGAGATTGTGTGGGATTGATGAATGCTCCAGGCAAAGCTCTGACTTTGTGTACAGATCAGGATAAAGGCAGTGATTGCTGGGTGTTTGAATGAAGGCTGAGGCAGCCTGTAACGCTGACAGCAATTTTTCAATGCTCATTTTTAAATGGCTGTGCTCTAAAAGCAGAGCCAGGCACGTGTGAGGAGAGGGGCAATGCTGAGAACATACCTTTTGTTGGAGGTGACAGGGATCCTCCAGCCCTTGATCTGGCTGAGCTCCGTGTCAGAGATCTCGATCTGCAGCGGGAGCCGCGGAACCCAGACCGTCACCTCCAGCTGCGTGGTGAAATGCTGGTAGGTGAAATTCACAATGGTGTCCACTTTGCTCTTCATCTCCTTGCCATTAACAAAGATGGAGTCGCAGCTCTCAGAAACCTTAAAAAAATAGATATAAAAAAATTAGGAAATGAATAAAAGTTCCTGAGGAAGAGCGAGGATGATACACGAGTCTTAAGACAACACTGCAAATGTAAGTCATGCATATTGCATTTCCAGTTTTCTAATTAGAAGCAAACAGTGATAAATGGACCCCAGGGAAAGAGTTGTGCTTTCCTCAAAGGATACTACTCAAACTACAAAAATAATTTAATGATGTTATATAACCTGTGTGAATCTTTTATATTAGGCAAATTAAACTCTTCATGAATCAAACTCCATGTGCATCAAAGTTTATGTTTACAACTTGTTTAAAGAACCAGGAAAAAATGGGGCCATATGTTAGTAAGAAAAAGACTGACTCAGAACCATAAACCAGAATCTTTTCTCTTTTCCTTGAGCACTGTAATGCTGAAAGACAAAGATCCCCTTATGGCTCATGAGCAGAAGTGCAGCAGAAGCATTATTTTTTAGAACTTCTCAGTAATTGTTTTAACAAAACGTATTCATAGTTGCTTTGTGGCATTCTGTGAAATCACTGCTGAAACGAGCGTGTGGGCTGTGCACTACAACTCATCTGCCCTCTTGGTTCCAGGCATCTTCTGGCACAAAATCAAGGTCCTGAGCACAGATCCTATTTATCTAAAACCATGATGTAGCAACTAATTCAATCTGCATCCTGGAAGACAGGACTCCTCTGTCAGGAAGGAGTTTCTAACATATTCATAAATATGTGTGTGTGTAGTTTTAGATATACAAATAGTACAGTTTTAGATATACAAACACCCAGCCATGTAAAACATTTATGTGTATTATTCATGTACAATATTCACGTTTATATACATACATAATGAGTTATATACCTGCATACCTGCATGTGTACATGTATTTTATCTTTATCTGCTTTGCATTCTGCCTTGAAGAGAGAGAGGAGATCATTTCCCACAGAGTGCATGGTTTCAGTGTGGTTTTAATCTTTCAAACCCACAGCTGATGAGATGTGGCTGTGTTCCTGGAATGCACTTTGTTCTCCTGTCAGGACTGCTCTGTGTCACCTGTCCAAGGCTCTGGCACCCGGATCCAGCGGGATCCTGGCTGAGCCTGTCTTTAAATTCTGGTTTCCTGGAATTACTGAGATAACTCATGTAGGCTTCAGGAGGGAACAGGATGAAACACAGGCTGGGTTCCCTCTGCAAACCTCCTCAAATCTTTTTCAGATACTAACAGGGATTAGGGGTTACTGAGCCAAGAAAAATTAGATAAAATCTCTGGCAGACGCTTTGTTTTGCTCAAAAAGCACACAATTTTCAGATATGAAGTAAAAGATCTGTCCTTCCTTATTTGCCACATTCAAGTCAGCTTCTCAGATCCTTCTCGATGTACTGAAACTACAATTGCTCATTTACAGAGGGGCTGAGCCAGGTGATGAGGGATGGGGCAAAGGAAACGAAGTCACTCTTCTGGAGAGAACACTCCTCCACATAAATGCTTAATGAACACAAGAATATAAAAATAATAAATCTAGATAATCTGATAAAGAGCTTAAAATGGACTTCAGGCTCAGGAGTATCACAAATGAGATGGAGCATACTTGGAATCTTTTTTTTTCCCTCCCTCATAATGTGTCATGAGTGTCTCTGGAAAGTTTAAGCACATTAAGCAAGCCCATTAATTGAATGAGCAGTTGAGATTCTAAACCATAAAGCTTACATCGAGGGAGTTATGTGAGAATTAATACAAGACAGAAATAATTAGGAAAATTCAAAGAGGGAGGGATAAACATCAAGGCCGGATCAGGGGAATAACTAATATCTGACAAGACAGCAGCTAATTTTTCAGATTCTCTTCTTGCTGCATCAAATGTTCTTGTCAGCAGGCAAGAAAGGTGCTAAATTAGAGAATTGAAAATGGACATTAATTGTAGCTATAAAAATATCAGTCTAGGTGCTGGAATGCTGGATGCTGAGAATTTTAAACTTTCTGTGCTGAAAGGCACAGACCCACAAGAGAGCACTGCATTGACCTGAGGCCATGGAGAAGGCTTCCAAAATTGATTGACAGCACTGGGATTGTGGCTGTGGAGTTGATTAGAAGTGTGTAATATCATGTGGTGGAAAACTTAAGAGTTTAAGGGTTTAGAATATAGCAATATATGTAGAGCAGGATGGAGGTTTTAGGGCAGAGGCTGGTCCTTCTTCTTCACCTCCTTCTTCCTTCTTCTCCATGGGTTTGGGAGGTTTTGTGTAATTGGACAGAAAAGTCCACGTTGCAGGTGGTTGGTTATTGGGTTAAAAGTAAAAATAATTTAGGTGTCATTTCTTAATCTGATAGTTTAGCCTTAAAAGACCTTGTAGAGAAAGACAGCTGGCCATTCTGTAGCTTGTTAGTAGAATGCTGTAGAACTCACAACTTGTCATCTAGATAAGAAATAATAAACATCTGAGTCTGAGCACCAAACACCGTGTGGAGCGTCCCCATCCCCACCTTGGCAGAGGCAGACCAGAAGCCAAGAGCCAGCAGAGAGTGCTGCCCGGTGTGGGGACACCTGCTGAGGCTGGGACCCCTCTGAAGAAACAGAGCTGTGAGCTGGAAAGGAAAAATCCCCGGGGAAAAGAAAGAAAAGAGGAAGAAAAAAGAGCTCGGGCATCCCCAGACGCTGGTGAAAAGGGTTTGGAGCAGAACGTGGGTGCTGGACACCCAGAGATGAGGAGGAAAAACGATGGCGATAAATCAGGTATGATTTATTTCTTCAGGGCTCGTCACAGAGAGAGAAATGTGCGATCACAAAGGGATGCCTCAGATCTGCTCGACTCAAAGGGCAGGAACATCCCGTGGCTGTCCCAAGGGACAATAAAAGATCTTTTACTCTGGGTGCAGGAACAGTTTCCAAACGCAGATCCAGGGGATCTTTTTGATCCCTTTCTCTGGGACTCTCTGAATCTAAGACTATGTGAAAAGCACCAATCACTTGTTTTTAAAATTTTTTAAAGTTTAATAGTAATAAAATGGTTATAACAATAGTAATATAAAATTTGAACAATTGAGATTAGGACAATATGAGACAAAAAAAACCCAAAGAGTTACGGATGTCTGGGTACCTTTTTCTGGGAAAAATAAGCTCGAAAAAGGACACCAGTTAACAGAGGATTAACCCTTAAAAACGACAGCCTGTTGCATATTCATACACCTCGTTCATGATGCAAAAATTCCATTCAAACAGAGGATTCTGTCTGGTCATTGTCCGCTTCTTCCTCTGAATCCTAACGGTGCCTTCATGGTGGGAAGTTAGTTTCTCTTGATAAAAGAGCAATAAATTCTCTTTCTCTGAAAGATTTAGGTATCCTGTGGCTGCTATCTCACTGCGAGTCCTTTCTTTTTTTAAAAAAAAGTATCTTACCTAGCATAGTTTCTATTTTAACATTATTATAACCTAAAACTGTATTTAACACACTACTTAAAAAAATTAATACAGCATAACTTTCTAACACAACACATACAATATTCATTTTAATATTTGCGAAAAGCCAGTCATAAAATATGCATTTTTCACATTATACGACGCTGCTTAAGGACACAGCAGCAACAAAACTTCCAGCGTGAGGGTGTCTGTGAGGCTCCAGCCAGCAGGTGCCCCTCACAGGAGGTTAATGAGATAATTAGTGCCCCACAGAGCGGCCGGGCCCAGAGCGGCGGGACGGGCAGCCCCCTGCTCCCCTCCTGGGAGATCGCTCACCACGGGGACAGGGGACACCCGAGCCCTGCGGAGGGGCTCCCCAGAGCCAGGGGAGCCCCGAATTACCGGGACCGGGCCGGGCCCGGGTGCGCGGCGGCCTGACAGCGCCACAGCGCGAGGTGCGCAATGTGCGCGCAACCTGTGCGCAACGTGCGCAGCCAGCGCCCTCACGGACCGCCCGGGGTACGCAAAGTGCGCAGCCAGCGCAAACTGAGGGAGCGGAGCGGGACCCGCGGTCCCGCCGCCGTTTTTAAACGTAACAAACATGACTGCGGAGCGGGACCCGCGGTCCCGCCGCCGTTTTTAAATGTAACAAACATGGCTTTGGCTTCAGGCAGTGCGCAGAGCGCGGCGAGGACGGGCCAGGGGCAGGCGGAGGTTGCGGGAGGACAGCGGTGCCTCGGGACGGGCGAACGTGGATGGAAGTTGGATGGAGTCTCGCACCGGGGGTGGCAAACACAGACACAGAGATCACAAAGAGCCCTTCTTTACTGCCCATAGCAGCGGTGCGCGGTGTCCCGTCCCTGCCTGCTCCCTCCCAAACGCCGGCAGCCCACCCGGGCCCGGCACCAATTCATCCCGCCATTCACCCCAGCCACTTCGGCACCGCCCATGGCCCCGCCTCCCCGCCTGTCAATCACTCCTCACGGCGCTGTTCCGCGGGAGACCCCCAGACTCATTAGTGCAGCTCACAGGCTGCGCACGAAATATGTCCTTCCCACACAATGGCGGCGCCCTGCACACCTCTTCCGTACGGCAACATGGCGGCGCCCTGTGCACTTCCGGAAATTATAACTGTCTTCCGCTAGCTCCATTTTGTAACCAACAAGACGTTCAACCTCCTGCTGCAGCGCCAACTCTGGCCGAGTGTATTATTGCAACCTCCAATTCTAATAATATACAACAAATGCTATTGTTCAATATTTCTAATAATATTCTAATGTATATTCAAATAATATACAACAATATCTCAATAATATACAACAATATTTCAATAATATACAACAACAAATGCTATTGTTCAATATTTCTAATAATATTCTAATGTATATTCAAATAATATACAACAATATCTCAATAATATACAACAATATTTCAATAATATACAACAATTCTAATAATATACTACAACAAATGCAACCACCAATTCCTCATACAGAAGGGTGTTATAGATATATATTATAATAGCAGCTTTCTGCAAGTATTAAAATGGATTTTATATGTGGGATGTTAAAGTAACTTTGTTATAAAGATATAGTTTGCATTT